AGACGCCGCGCCAGCAACGGCCACGCGCCTTTCTTTTTATTCAGCCCTCCGCTCTCGCCACTGGCCCGATTATTCTATCTTTTCTCCTCTTTGTATCCATACTTTTCGATTCTTAAAAACTTATACAGAGTTTTCGACTCGTGCCTCGCAAAACCCGAACTATTCGACACTTAAATACTTTCTTTTCCACTGAATTGTGTGTAATCGTATCTTGACGTTGACCTTCGGCAACGCTTCAACCTTTCCGATGAAACGTTACATGTTCGTGCTTCTCACATTTCCCTCGGTATACTTATTTGTATGTATAGACGCGTAACATCCTTTACTATAATATGCAAGTTCATTACAATATGTTAATTTTTCGAGTAGGATTCCAATGGGTAATTAAACGTCTTATCTGTTTTATCACGACACGTAAGGAGTATAATAACGGTGCTTGTTCGAAATAAATCTGCATCGGTTAAATTACCGCGTGGAACGAATCGTACGATTTTCCTTCGATTTATGGTTACGCTATAAAACGCACGTGCGAACCAGGCGAATTTTCTGACATATCAGACGAGTATGAAAATTGTTATGAATTATTACTAGGTGGCAGCACTTCGCGCTGTATGCTTTGAAAATTCATTTATGAAAAGAAACATTCGCAGGGAATTTTCAATCTTCGTCCATCTGTGTATGCACAGGTACTTACACGTATCTGAGAACTCGGTCGAATCAAGTTCGCGTGATGTTCCCTCTTTACATTTTAATAAATCACGTTACTGGAAATGTTTGATTTGCCGTTCGAAGAGCATGTCGGAGGAGCGAAATGCCTATGGTGCAGTACAGTCTGATGTAAATCATTTATTCTGCTAAGTGTACGTATCATGCGACTGACCGCCATTTGGATAGACGCTTCTAGAATATCATTCATTTGTATCTCTCGCTCCTTCCGTCGACAGCCTGTCTTCTCCATATCTATTTATCTCGTGATATACACCATATTAATGTGTTTTGCGTTTTTCACGCGAGAGACTTACATACGCACACGCTCGCTGTCCCAGAGAATTTTCTTAAGCGAGAACATAATTTAGGAACGCGTTTACACGCGTCGCTAATTATCGCACCACGTTCGTGCTACAAATTAGCATCCTCCTCAGAGTTCGAGCGAACTTTTGCGAAAACGATTATCATTCGTGCTTGTGGGTGACACCGCGAACGCACTTAGTGGTTCTCAACTTTTTCCGTCCTGTTTCCTGGTGTCCCGCTGTTGTCGCGTGAATCTTTTATACGTGTTCGTGCAACCCGCATCCTTTGATTGATTTGATATATCGCTTGCTTCACTTACAATACAATTACATAAAATGTTTTAGTGTTCACAACTAATATAACGAACTTAATTAATTTTAAAAGTTTGTCGATCTTTTCCATCTATCCTCAATTTTTTAATTAGTTTTAGTCGTTTCTTTTACCATTTTCTAATTTAAAGAAAAAAAAGTTTTTCTTAATTTTGTGAAGTAACGAAAAGCAGACACGATAAAAAAGAATAATCGTGTTATTTTATTTCTTTTTTGAGAAAGATTATAATACGAACACCAATTAAGTATTAATTATATTGGTCCTTCCGTGGTTTAATAACTTGATAAAATTTTTGCAATTATTATTTATTAAAAAATAATATACAAAAGGGATATTTATAAATTAAAAATGACATAACCACGAAGTTTACATAATTGGATTTTCGTGCATGCATAAGTGAAGTTGAAAAATATTTTGTAACATAATCAATGCCACTTACACTTCAACTTCAACACACGCACTGGTTTGGTTTTTCCACGAGTTCGATGTTCTTGTCTGGACTTGGTTAACAAGCTTCCGTTCGAAACGATAAAGCATGCTAACGACCTACTAATCTGAAATGCGTAGGGTTCGAACGACTGCAAAATATTAGAAGCGTGACATCGCGTTTTCCGATGAGAAACAACACCTAACAGTGTAATAATAATATTATACAAACAAAATGAACACGATGAAAGAAGAAAAAGGGAAGAGGATGATGGGGAATGAAAGAAATACTTTTTGGTGTTTGTGTGTACTGTAATGTGAAATACAAAATGTAAAGTAGTGGAAGTAAAGCGAAAGTAGTGGGAAATTTCGGTATGTACGCATAGTTCGATGGCTAATAGCAAGTCTTACAGGACGTCGGCGCCAAACGGTATGTTGGATTGCGTAACTTTCGCCGAATTTAACGCGAATATGGAACGAACGCGTCGCGTACGTTTCCCTTATTTCGTTTCACCGCGCCGGTGCGCGCGCCACATGCACGGGTAACTTATTCATCGTTGATTGTGTCGGTATTTAAACGAGCTCCTGTTCTGGCCTTACGTAATTTGCTGAACGCGGAGAGCAGCGGGTATACACGCGCTCGGTTGCTTATTCAGCGATGTTGTGACCTGTATTCACGTCGCGACACTTCTGTTTCTTTTTACTAGAAACCCACTCACGGCTGGCCGTGTGTATGCGCGCGGCATCGCGTATATTTACGTTTTCCTCGTTGGCGCCGCGTAAATCCATCTCCTGCAATCGTCCAGGAGAAAGGAAACGGGAAGGCGTTATCCTTCGAGAAAGTTAAGTCGTTCTCAGTTTAACGAAGGAGGTCGGTTTTCGCGCCACCGTCACTGACCAATCGCGTTTTTCCTTTATTTAGGCCCTCTCGGTTCCCAAGAATATCTTTGCTGTCCGCCGCCTAACGTCTCCCTTTCTTTTTCTGCGTTCTCTTTGCTAATTGCCTGACAATTCGTACATCACGATATATATTTATTCTAATATATATATAGTATTTATTACGACAGAATGTTACTTTGTAAATATCGACTGTAATTCGGTTGTTTGGTTTCGTCAAGTAGTAGATCGATAGTAGTCTTCTTAGTGCTTGTTAACCGACGGTTGGACATAATCGGGTCATATATCGCGTTCAATTCGGTTAAAGAATATGTCGCGCGTACGGGTCGTGGGACGGTGCGTGGCTTAGAATTTTTCTTGCCATTTGGTTTACTATTTATCGATGATTCATGGTTCATAGTGAACCACGAGGTCGTCGGAAGAATGAATTTGTTATTGTTTGTTCCAGACTCGGGTCGCACAGAAAGATACGTATGTTGCGATTATTTATCGCTCGAAAGCAACGTCGTGTCATCTCCTAAACACGAAACTATCCGGTTAAATGTGCGACGCTGTCACTTTCTTTTTACAAAACTATCTAGCTATAGTTACCTATTATTAAGCATCCGAAATAAGAGCAACGTTTCAAGCGTTTGTGAAATTTGTTTGATTATTGTTGCCTGTTTGTCGTATTGGCGTGTCGTATAACGCGCGCGCTCAGCTAAATCAGTTCATTACACGACTTGCATAGTCTTCGATGGGATACAGATGCGTCGCAGGAACACGTACCTATGTACCTCTTCAGAAATGTTATCGCCTGCACTGATAATGACGCGATAATGCGAAAAATGAACGAGTGTCGTATTTTCGAATCTTAAATTGCTCGAACGTTTGTAGTTAAATTAGAAGTACCATTACGGATAATCGATTTCCGATTTTTTTCCTTTTTAACGCAGCGATGGCTATTATTTTCATCGAAGGATAAACATTTATTTGGAAAATAAAAGTTTCAAAAAAATAAAACGTGCGGACAAGTATAAACAAGGATGCACGAGCGAAGTTTGTGTAGGCTTTGTTCTCTGTCGTCGCTCTTCCGTCAGTTTTTGTCGCGTAATTAAAGCGTGAAATCGCCACGACGAGGAACGGGAGGAGAGATGACGAAAGCTGGCCAGATAAAGAGAGAGATAGCAGGATCGTCGAGAGGGGGGAGGAAAAAAGTGTCCCTGTCTCGTACGAGGCTCGGGTGGAACCAAACCGCGGCGGTTATTATCGATCTCTCGGCATCGTTACACTTCGTCCGGGATCCGTACAAGTGCGGTAAAAGGCACGAGAGAGTGGTTACGTCGATTGTCCACGGGCTGCAGAGAGAAGCGGCGCTCTACAGGCTGTTTCTAAAATAAACGACCAAAGCTTTTCGAGTGCGTTTTGTTTACCTTCACGATGGGGGACAGATCCCACGTTCACAGCCGCGGAAGTGACTTCTTTTTTTATAGGTCGCAGTCATTTTTTGTTCGTTACAGGGATTTTCCTGATTTAGAAGAAAAACATACTGAATTTCTTTTTATAAAATCACTGTGAATACTTACTTGTATTCCTGAATGTATGTCCCGAATTCGTTTAACGAGTTGAATAGAGTATAATTTTAGCTAGTCGTTTACTAAATACTTTTATAAAAATATTGATGACAAGTACCTAGTCATGACAACAAAATATTTGTTGATATTTATGAAAGTGATTTACAAACAATCAAGGACAATTTACCTTATCTTACAGAATGTATTTTGGGGTTACCTATATTACATGGACATGATAGGAATATGTGACCTCAGTTGACAAGGTGAAACTGACCTTGAAATATCTGTGATTAATAGTCCTTGAAAAATCTCAAATAACTTTAATCTGGCCTACCACACCTAATCATGCATAACTTATCTGCATTATAGTTACTCCGATTAGATTATTAACGGGTGCTGGTTAAGATCCAATTATGTGAATATATTATTTGTAGTCTCATTCACGAAGGTAGTTAAAGTTGTTCGTTTACACTGCTATCGCCGCCAATGTTCAAATTACATCCTAGTTTCGCGTGACAGAATTCAAAGTAGCTCGAGAACGTGCGAGAAGTTTTCTGTTAGGAAAGAAAACCATTTCTAACCGTTAACGGTGAATACTTATTTCAATTTTAAACGCTTGCAAACTAGCCAGCTATCCTTGCAAACCTCTGTCGCAAACAAAAGATAGCCATAACTCGAAAGGGAGTATTTCCCCTCCGTGTCCATGGGATCTTTTCCCATCCTCAAGGTGAACATCGTTAAGGCCCCCAGGAATTGGCTTAAACGAGAAATACAACTTATCGGATGACTACAATTACACAAAGCTTATGGGCATACCTATTTATATATTGTCATTCAAACTTTCCTCCAAGTTGTCTTCTAAGAGATACTACTTATGTAAGGAAGTGAGGTAACTGTAAAAATCATAGAGTGTGCATGTAACGTTAAATTAGCATTGCATCGGTTTAATAAAATTGAAAAATACAGATTATATCTTTTATATGGAAACTTACCTTAATATGAATTTAAAAATAAAGCTCGACGAACTATTTTACATTAACAAAAATGACAATGGATATTTATTCTATTTTTTAATCATAAAATTTTAGAAATTTTATTAGAAGTAATCAGATTATCCTATTAGATCCGAAGTGCTTTTCTCTCTTTTAGAACACCCTGTATACATAAATGTATCGACAAGTCAAAACACGTACGTATCGTTTAAACGATTAGCGTGTAGTAGTCTCTGTTCTATAGTAAGCACGAACAGTTCATCTTGTCCCGTTATGGACGAAACGTTTATGGTAGTGTAGTAGTATACACATCCAAAATTTGTTCGCTCATTTTAGAAGCGCTGTATATATCCGATCGTTCCGTAGAAATTTCAATGTAACAGCCTAAGTGGCATGTGGATGAGTGCACGACAAAGAGGGAAAGGGAGAGCGAAAGAACGGTCTGGTCGGTTGTAACAGGTGCCCCCACCCGTTCTCTTGTTGCCCTTACTCTCCTTGCCTCGATGCCTCTCTTCTCCCGCAGCACTGTTCTCTTCAGGTTTGCCCTGTTCATCCTGTGTGTATATCTTATAACGTTTCCTATCTTCTTTCTCTTCGTCGTTACTTAGCCTCTTTTATGTAAGGCTAGCAAACTGACCTGACTCAACTATTGGGTATGCTATACTTCTCTCAGGGGAGAGAGACGAGCTATAGGTTTCTCCTCCTCTTTTCGGTTTCGTCGCTCAAGTTTCGTCGAGCATGAGGACGGGGCTTTCCGTTAGATGTCGTGTAATCAAAAATCTGCACGATAGAGGGCACGTTTTTCGCCGTTTCCTGCCAGTTGTATGCGATTCGGACAGATAGTAATTTTACCGGATATGTTGACTTGAAGCTTTTCATTACAATTGTATTCATGTAGAAGGATGATAACTTGTCTCATAGTATCATATGCATTGAATATACGAGTGTTTTCTTAATTTCAGCACGATTGAAAAGAACATAGGAATACTATTTATAAATTAGTCAATTAAAAGAGGTATTTTCATTTAGGATATTAGAGCGCAGAAACCTACAGAAAGAGAAACGTTTATAAATCCGAGATTGGACCCAATGGCATTTTTTTCTCCACTACTAAGTGCCCCGGTATCGCTCGCAAATGGTATTCGATAGATACTAGAGCGTGTCGTACAGATTCGAGAAAAAGATATATGACAATTTCTATGCGAGCAGCCAGCGGAACGTTGGAAACTGTTTCGTATGCACCCTGATTTCTTTTCGTCATGGGCCGCTTCTTCTTGTACAAATAATCGAGAATAGGGAAAAGCGTAATTACTGCTATGCTATTCAGGCTACAGGCAATCGATTTCTACAATGCCTGTACAATGGAATGAAAATATAGATATTGCTATTCGTTTCTGCCAGTCTTGCGGAAAACGGACATGGATAGCTATAATAATAGATAAATGCACATGTATTACGTAAATAACGTGGAACAATGCGTCTGGAACACGCAAAAGAAACGACGTCATTGATCATACTTGCAACAAATTGGTTATTTGTAATCGTGCAAATACGTCCCATATATTCTAATACGCATTTAAGGATTATTACCAATGTTTCTTCTTCAAATTATCGACTATGCTTTAGTATTTAATCATTTAGATCACTCAGATATCGAGATATAATTGGTTAGATAGTAACGGACGCGTATCATGTATCTCCGTATTCATTGCTCAGTCAAAGAAGGTCCCCACAGTACGCTGTACATAACTACGGTCGTTGGAATATCTTCCAGTAAATTGACCAAGCTAAATATACTATACGAGTATATACCTGGAAATGTCTGAAATACTTCAGATTACAGGAATCGCGCTCTAAACGAGATAAAACAAATAGAGATACGGCTGCTACGTGAATATAGGA